TCGGAGCGCGAAGAGGGCGTAGAGCATAGGCTGACCGATGGCAGAGTCCTGGACCGAGCTTGACAATGTGCCTGTCAACAAGAAGAGCTGCAGAGTGATGCGCCTTCTCGATGTGCGCGCATTTGAGCTCAAGTCTGCTGTACACAAAGTGTTCGACCATGTCTGGAACACATTGGTGCATGTTGACAGCGAGACAAAGCGATTGTCCATTTACAGCCAACGAGAGAGTATGCAGCTGATTCACCCGCCTGACTGCAGTCTGCTGACTAGGACTAGCTGAGCAGATGACGCTGAGTGAGGCCGTCGTTGGTCTGGAAGCCTACAAGGAGGTTGATGACCGAATGTCCCAGCTTTGGCAGGACATCGACCGGGCGATCGTCTCGCCTCGAATGGATGTTAGGGCACCGCAGCTGTTGGCAATTCAGGCAAGCGAGGTATGTTTTCTACTCCTGGGACATTTTTTCGCCTGGCATTGTGCTTGCGAGACTGACCGTACGCAGAACGTCCTCGAAGCGCAAGGCGAGGCTGGACGAACGATTGATGATCTTTTTGCCGATCTTCAAAAAGTCGTCGAATTCCTAGCCAAACGATTGCCACCAGACCTGTTGATTTATCTAAGTCCTATTATGATGAGCGATGTCGTCCCACGGCTGGTTAGCACGTGGCTGGACGCGGCAGTTCCCTCTTCATTGCGGGATATTGGGCAATTCCAGGCCGTCATCAGATCCGCGAGCGCGTTCTGCTCCGCGCTGGAGCAGAACGGGTTTTCAGGCTTTACAGAACTCAAGGAATGGGTTGGCAATGCTCCATCGATCTGGCTTGCTAAATGCAGGGAAACGGCTTTGGACGCTGTACGCAACAGGATATCAGAGGGTAACGTCGGTTCACTCTCGTCCTGTGGTCTCTTACTAACACAGGCCAGGCTTGGGCGAGACGCGGCAGGTTGAAAAGGTGGAGAAGCAAATGGTATCACGGTCGGAGGGCAAGGAGCTCGCGGCCAATGGAGTTGCTGCGCAAGCCGACGACGACGACTGGGGCGCAGCGTGGGGTGAGGAAGATGCTGGCCAGCCCGAACCCGAGCCCGAGCCCGAGTCCCACGGGTCATTGGAGCAGTCCGAGGCCAAGCATGACGCCCCGCCGGAAGACGACGGCGCGGACGTATGGGGATGGGACGACGATGACCAGACAGCAGGTGCCGGGGGCGACGGCGAGGAAGCGAAGAAGGGCCAGGAAGATGACGATGACACAGCAGCAGCATGGGGTTGGGGAGACGATGATGGCGATGCAGCAGTTGCATCAACATTCGTGCCGGCGCCAGCGCCAGTGCCGGCACGAGCACCAGCAGCCGCCAAGCGGGCCAAATCGACCTCGACGGCCGAAGAAAGTCGGGAAATGGTGCTTAAGGAGACGTACCACATCTCGTCCATGCCGGACCCTGTCCTGGGAACTTATCCCTCTCTATTCTGGGAAGAACGGCGCGGCGCTGACGCAAGCTAGGTGAGTTTGCTTTCACACGAGCAACGGGCTTGCCAGGCACCTAGGCAAGCAAGATGGCTAACAGGCGGCAGCAATGAGAACACACCCCCCCGTTGCGGCAGCACCGGGGCTTTTCAGTCAAGCCGACACTGGCGCTGGCGATGTTCCGGGCCGTTTCGCCACACTACTACGCCATGGAATTGGGCGGCAACATGTGAGTTCTGAAGTGCCGAAGTCTCACGTGGCCGGGGTTCTTAGGCCCGGTCTAGGCCTGTTTTTGTTTGACTAACAGGGGCGACGATAGGCTGCTGTACAACGACGCCATGTATCTGGCGGAGAGGTTAAGTGAGGTGGGCGAGAGGTGGAAGGCACGGGACGATGTAACGCCGCGGGCACGCAACATGCTGCGGATCGACAACGACGTCAAGGGCCTGCAGGGGTTCGCGAACAGGGCGTACACGGGGGAGCTCAGCACGCAGAAGACGGTGCTCGGCGACCTCGTGGGCGGCGAGCAGAGCCTCATGCAGCAGGACGAGATGGACAGCTGCATCGACTCGGCCATGGCGCGGGTGCGGTCGATGGCGGTGACGTGGGAGTCGATCCTCGCGCGGTCGGTGTGGTACCAGGCGGTGGGCGCGCTCGTCGACAGGCTGGCGACCAAGATTATATCGGACGTCATGGACATGGCGTCGGTGGGCCAGGACGAGGCGTACAAGATTGCCCAGCTCATTGCCAAGGTGACGGAGCTCGACGACCTCTTCCTGCCGTCGCGGTCATCGTCGTCGGCGGCGACGGCGGGGGGCCGCGAGCCGACGGCGGCGGATGCGGAGGAGATTCCAGCGACGGCGCAGTATGCGTCTTCGTGGCTGCGGCTGAAGTACCTCAGCGAGGTGCTGCAGTCGAACCTCAACGAGGTCAAGTATCTGTGGTGCGACAGCGAGCTGAGCCTGTACTTTTCGGCGGACGAGGTGGTGGATCTCATCGAGGCCAGTTTCGAAGCGAACGCGCGAACGAAGGAGACGATCCGGGAGATTCGGGAGCGGCCTCAGCCAGTGCTGGCCTGAGGCCGAGGAAAGACTGGCCGCCGCCGGTTCAACGAGAATGAACGATTGAATGACAGCCTCCCACCATGTATGTTTCTTGTTTCATCCAAGGTGCGCGCCATACCTTCATCTGCCCCCTCCCATCCATCC